CTGTGCCACCAGCACCGCCAAGTCCCTCTCTGCTTTCTGATGAAGCAGAATTTCAGCTGAAGTCTGTCTCAGAGACCAGTTTAACTCACCTTTAGAGCCAAAAGCAAAGTCTCCAGAGTTTTTGGAAGCCAGATCTGCAAAAGACAGCCCTGCAGCATTGCCAAAACCAAAGGAGATGATTTTGTTTTCTGTCAAACAAGAAAGCAAAGTAAAAGGTTTTTCTCTGCTTCCTTAAAGAAAATGCATTTATGTAGTCACAAGAACTTGAGAAGTGTCTACAGTATTTTTGCCTCCAATAAAGTTTGTATAACATTGGTCATAATATCAGTCTATCATGGCTTAAAAAAGGGCTCAGGACTGTGAGAGATTTTCAGCATGCTCCTTCTGTGCAGATCCACAGAGTTCTAGTAAGTTACTACATATTATTATATACTATACATATATATTATTATATATAAATTACACAAACACTATCATTGTTCTGTAGGAGTGAATTTTAACACAACAAAATTTGATATATTTGTGTATCTATATCAAATGATATATGACATATAATTTAATCCCCACATTTTTACTAGATTGGCACTTAATGCTTCTAATTCACAGTTGGTACGACTTCTCCCCAACACAGCAACTACATTAGATAAACTGATCTACATAAAACCCAAAACATACCCCAATCTTACCTTGTGTCGACTCAGCACACTCCGAATCACTCTTTTTGGTTGACAAGTCTACAGGCTTCTCATCAGCTTGTGATGAAGTCTGTGATACTTGCAGAGTTTCTGTGGTGGAATCTGATTCTTTGCTGCTGGTTGCTGACTGCACAAATACTGTCACCTCTTCAGCTGGAGTAGGTATTTCTTCCTTGTTGGTAGAGGTTAAGTCACCTGAGCTTGCAGCCTCATTCTCCTGTGATTAATAAACAAGTAACATAATAGGCAAATAAGCTGGAAGAGCTTAGGACACAAACCATCTTCCTTAGGAGGCTAAGAATCACAGAATCATCAAGGTTGGAGGAGACTTCTAAGAGCATCAAGTCCAACCATTAACCTGTCACTGCTGGACCCCCTAAACCAGATCCTCCAGTGTCAGATCCAGACACCTCTTCAACACCTCCAGGGATGGTGACTCCACCACCTCCCTGGGCAATATCCCCTAACAGGGAAAACATTTCTCCTCACATCTCATCTGACTCTCCCCTGTCTCAGCTTATGACCATTCCCCTCTAGTCTCCTCCCTGCAGCCATGGCACATCCTACAGCCAAAATCTCTCTGGGTGATTGGAATAATGTAGGGCTAACACTTTGCTCCTCCAGGGTGAAAAAAGGAGCTTAACTTAACACACAAGGACATTAACTTAAAGAGACTGAAGTATCTTTGCAGCTGTATGTTTCCAAAACAATACTTCCAGAAATGAACTAGTCCCTCTGAATACATCAGGAATGATTTTACTAGCCAAAGCAGTTTATACTTTGAGAATATCTGTACCTTCTTTCTCTTCCCAAGGAATTTAAGCTCAAAGCTTTCTGTTTCAGTGCTGGCAAAGAATTTAGGCATAGCCACAAAAGACTCAAATGTTTTTCCCCACTGGATGTTTTAGTTCTCACAAGGGGAAAATTGGAGTTTCTCACGTGTATATGAAGTAATTGTACAAGTTTAATAAGAAGAAGTTTAGTAAAGATTTAGTTCTTACTTTCATTTCTTCTGTTTTAGCTTCTGTCTGTAAGTCTTCTGGACTGTCATCTTCAGTATCACTGCTGACCCCACAGACAGATGTAGAAGGAACCTGAGGAGTTTCTGCCTCAGCTTTCTCCTCAGGAGTTGGTTTCTCTTCCCAAGCTGCAGCACATTCTCTTTCACCGTTGAGTTCACTTTTCCCTGTGATGCCTACTGCAAGGAGTAAAGATGAGTGGAAAACAGCTGGGAAGGCAGTAGAACACTGAAATAACTTTTAGCACCTACATCATAAATTAACCTCATGAGAGCCAGAGCAACTTGCAGACAGACCTCAAGAGTTTTCCCAACAGCATTACTGTTTAAACAGTGGAAGTAAAGACTAACTTAATGTGGGTGACTAGAATGGAAATACAGATGTGGTTTCCTATTGCCACCAGGGAATTTCCATGCAATGATCAAGAGTTCATTCTTCCAGCTAATGGCTTCTCTCAATATTTCCTCATATGCAGATGGCTCAATATATACATCTTTCCAGCACATATCCTCCAAAGAACTCCAAACTTCACTTCTAGAAGCACCTAACCAGACTTTCAGTTTGTAACACTGACATCTAAGGCACAGCCAAAGTAGACATAAATATAAGTAGCAAATTCAAGTCTTCTATACCTCTACTTTTATTACAAAGACCAAATATCTTTTTAACTTCAACAGTACTAACTCTTAGTTAAACTGACTAGCTGCAGAAGTAGGGAGTATTTGAAGACGTAGACAACATTTTGTCTTGTCCAATATCATGCCAAGCTGAATCTTTGACACTCAGAAGAGGCTCAAGGTAGGAAGAGACTCTGATGTTCTTGTTTAGAGATCACTTGAAATGCACATTTCTCACTCAGGTACCACTTTACTGCTAACTAACAGTTTAATACAGTGAGCTTAACATTGTGCTTTGAGATACAGATTCTCTGCTCCAGCATCAGTGGTTCTAAAAACTACCTCAGGAAACAGAAAATTAACCTCTGCCCTTGTGTCCTTCAGATTCAGAGTCTGTTTCAGTACATAGAGCAGAACACTTACAGTTTCTTCAGACATACCTTTAACAGGCTCTTGCAATTTCTTTTTCACTTGTGAATCACTGCAATAAAGTCTTCCATTAAGTTTCTTAACAGCTGTTTCATAGTCTTCATCTGAAATACAGGAATCAAGTGTAAGTTCTCAGGCACCCTCTAAGTCAGAGAAGTCTAAGTCCTTCTGACTCACAAGCCTAGTATAAAGTTTGCTTGTGTTGCAAGAGTTCTACAGGTGAGAGCAAGTAAGCTTTCACTTCTAGTTTTGCACACGTGTCCCCCAATGTGCTGTTGACACTTTCTCTCAGCCTAGATTGTTACAGACACATGGCACAGGTTTTGTTTTCAGAAAGCACATTTCTTACTGAGTGCTTTTATTCAGTGTACCACTACAACAGATCTGGGAAAGAAGACTGAAGATCTTTACATAAGAACTTGCAAGCTCAGGTGTTTGTGAGGGGTGGGCTTGTCTTCTCCCATTTTCTGTTGAATACAACGTTTCAGAATTTCCATTTACCATATTTGCTGCTGAATACATCAGCAGTAATTTAGTTGCATACAACAAGATTTGACATAAAATAAGTTCAGTTTTAGTATTAGGAATTTGCTTTAAAAGGAAAAAAAACCCCATTATTCTAGCATTTAGGACACCTGAGCATGTTTGCTTCTAATACAAAGACTGCCTTGTCTCTAAAAATACTTACTGAAGGAAGTCTCTTGCTCAAATATCTGATTATGTAGTCTTACCTAATCAGCTGCATTGGTAATGAGTGTCAACATCCATAACACTCCTGTACAAATTAAATTCCCTTTAGTCACTCCTGGGTCTGCATTGTGCCCTTCTGCATTGAAGTCTTGAGTGTACATCTTTGGCCACATGGAATTTGACAGGATTACTTCCCATCGGTCCAAACAGGAACATTGCAGTGTCTAATGGTTCTGACAGCATTCACACAGGATCTCAAGTTGGAAGGGACCCACAAGGATCACCAGCTGCAGCTCCCTGCTCCTTGCAGGACTGCCTAAAACCAAGCCATAGGACTAAGAGCATCATCCAGATGCTGCTTGAACTCTTGACAGGCTTGTGGTAGTAACTACTGTCTTGGGGAGCCTGTTCAGTGCCTGACCATACTCTCAGTGAAGAACCTTTTCCTAAGTTGAGCTTCCCTGACAGCTTCATTCCATTTCCTTGTGTCTTATCACTGGTCACCAGAGAGATGAGATCAGCACCTCCTCCTCCACTGCCACCCTTGAGGAAGCTGCAGACTGTGACGAGGTCACCCCTCAGCCCTGTCTTTCCTGAACAAACCAAGTGACCTCAGCCACTTCTCCTGAGTCTGGCATTTTCAAGGCCTTCCACCAGCTTGGTCACCCTCCAACAGTTTGATGTCCTTCTTACACTGAGCCACTCAAAGCTGCATAGAGTGCTCAAGGTGGGGTGTGTACCACTGCAGTGTATTCCACCCTTTCCCCACAAAAAGGCAAGACAAATATCAACTTCAGCACTGCTTACCATCCTCCTCATCACTGATGTATCCAGGCTTATTCTTGTAACAGAAGAAGGTTGCAGGGAGCTTGAGCAGCTCAGCGAGCGCTCTCTGTTCAGGGGTAGGTGTTAACTCGTACACTATAACCACCTCATCAGATGGAAGGTCATCTTCTGATGCTGGAGTCTTCTCAGCTTTGCACAGAAATTGAACAGACCATTACAACTGAACCACTTCAGAACAGGAAGTAACAATAACCTCACATTAGTACAGAACTGAATTAGCTCTAAGGCCCTATATATTTCCTGTTGATCCACGGGAAAGAAAAATCCAAGTCACAGGATGCTAGGACAGAACAGCATGTTAAAATGTCAGAAAGCCTAACATGCATGTCCAGCTACATCCAGTTCTATTGCCTTTGGAATGAAAGCATTAGAACAGAAACGGAGCTGCATCTTTATACTCCTGCAAGGACTATTTAATTCCTCATGTCAACTAAAATATGGAGAAGAGGGACAGAGGTATCATACAGAGACAAACAAGCAAATTTCAAGCCTGAAAGAAGTTGTGTACAGCAAAATGTCTTACTGCATTGCTTAACAGTGCTTTAAGTTCTAGAAAATACTAAACAGCAACTGAGCAGAACTTATTTCAGATTACCTATGGAAATCTGAGCTTTTTATTGACTATTCTCTACCATAATAGATGTTGCTGAAACTTTCATTGTTACAAAAGTACAGTAGCTTTCAGTTCTACCTTGCTGAACAACAAAAAAAATATTGCTTTCATCCTAATTCAACTAGCTTTTCCAGCAGGGAAAAAATATCAGTGCCAATTTCAGTATTACATAGCTTTTTATCCTCTCTCTTTCGACATTAAATTGTCCATTCCAGTAGTATTGAGACAGAGCATGATCAAAGGTTAAAGCTGAAAGTAAAGCCTAGAGCAAAGAGCAGGTAACAAACTTTGGGAACAAATATAGAGTTCATTAGGAGAAAATGGAAGTAAAGAGAGAACACACCAATGTAAACATCATGTCTGGTTTGGTTGGTGTTCTGTTTGTCTAGGTTACAGTGTAGTTTGGAAAGAGGGAGTTTGGGCATAAAGGTGTGAAACAAATTTGTTAACTATGTATCAGAACTACTCCATAAGCTCATCAGTATCTTCACATCTGCTGCTTCCGGGAACAATCTGACTGTGTTAGTACCTCAGTCTGTTTATTAACATTGTTCCAGATTTGAGCTAAACTAGTCAACAGAACATGAAGATGGTCTCAAAAGCTCACTGTGCTTTTCATAAGAAGAAGATACTTGTTAAGTCTGTGGCACAATGTAGTCAGTGGAAACCTAAATCTTCACCTAGACAGCAAACTACTACTCAGTCCCAGAAAAACACTGATTTTCCTGAGCATACAATCTGACATTGCAAGAGGTGACAAGAACAGAAAAGACATGTAACATTTCAGATGCATCCCCTGACCCTCTGACACAACTGACACACTAAAATGAGCCTGCTTTTTAGAGGCAGTTTTATCACTAGTATCATGGAATCATTGAGGTTGGAGGAGACGTCTAAGAGCATCAAGTCCAACCATTAACCTGTCACTGCTGGAACCTCTAAACCCTAAACCAGATCCTCCAGTGCCAGATCCAGATGCCTCTTTAACACTTCCAGGGATGGTGACTCCACCACCTCCCTGGGCAATATCCCAGTGCCTGACCAGTAGATTTCATTAAGAAGAGTAAAAAGCAAAGTAAAGAAAAAGTAAAACCCCAAGTAGGGAATCAAACTTAGGCCTTATTTCAAGGTATTCCCTCCCTCGTCATTTTCCCAGGGGACTCTCCCTTTGCAAGTTAATCATTTCAGACATGTATACACCAGAATGTAGCTCAAACCCATTACCAGCACATAGACCATTACAATCCTTTTTGCTCATATTTTTAAGACCTCAATAGCTTTCCTGAGCCTGCAGAAAGCAGATGGAGGATGAAATTTTTGAACAGCAGATTTCTCGTTCATATTACGACTTCAGTGAAAAGTCATAAACTGAGACAGGGGAGATTCAAACTAGATGCCAGGAAAAATGTTTCCCTGTGAGGGTGTTGAGGCACTGGTATATTGCCCAGGGAGGTGGTGGAGTCACCATCCCTGGAGGTGTCTGGATCTGGCACTGGAGGATCTGGTTTAGGGTTTAGAGGTTCCAGCAGTGACAGGTTAATGGCTGGACTCGATGATCTTAGAGGTCTCCTCCAACCTTGATGATTCTAAGCACGTGTCTTAATTGGACTGAGTAAGTTTGCACCAAGTTCACTAGAGTTAAGTTTAAATGTGGATTATTTAGTTTTACAGCAAAAAAAAAAACCCAACCAAATTTCCTTCGGATTGGAAAATTTTCAACACTATCTTTGACAACAGAAAATGTCTACAAAGTCAGTCACATAGCTGGTAAAATCCTGTGCTCCCTCTAATTTGAGAGGCAGAAAGGTTGCTGGAAGACCCCGACAACAGGTAACACTGTTGCAGTGGTTTACCAGCCTCATTGCCCATCCTGTTCAACAGACAACACTCACACTAACATTAGTCTTATGCAGACTAAAAATTTGCTATTTAAAATTAAAACGCTGTTGAACTGTGTAAGCTGAGTATGCTTACAGCAAGGAGAAATACCATTAGTGCAAGAAGTACCACTAGTGACATCTTACGACATAAAAATCAAACTATAAGTTGTGACAGTTTTGGTTACAGGTTCTGAATGCAAACAAATGCAAACTGTGCTCAGTTCTGGGCCCCTCAGCTCAGGAGGGACATTGAGGGGCTGGAGCAGGTCCAGAGAAGAGCAACGAGGCTGGTGAAGGGACTGGAGCACAAGTGCCATGAGGAGAGGCTGAGGGAGCTGGGGGTGTTCAGCCTGGAGAAGAGGAGGCTCAGGGGAGACCTTCTCATCCTCTGCAACTCCCTGACAGGAGGTTGGAGTCAGGTGGGGGTTGGTCTCTTCTCCCAGGCAACCAGCAGCAGGACAAGAGGGCACAGACTCAAGCTCTGCCAGGGGAGGGTTAGGTTGGATATTAGGAAGAGATTTTTTACAGAGAGAGTGCTCAGGCATTGGAATGTGCTGCCCAGGGAGGTGGTGGATTCACCATCCCTGGAGGTTTTCCAGATGAGACTGGATGTGGCACTTAGTGCCATGGTCTAGTAACCACAGTAGGGTTGGACTTGATGATCTTGCAAGTCTTTTCCAACTAGGTTGATTCTATAAAATTGGTTACTCAGCAAGTTTTCCAACCAGCTAAGGTGAACTTCAGATTATATATGAAGTATAGACACAGAAGCAGCAGCTAAGCAGCAGTAGCTAAAGAGTTGTCTCTCTCACATCTGTACAGTCCTTGTTTTCAAAAGTGCAGCAGTTAACACTGATGACCAGGAAACTGAATTAAACATTTCTAGAGAGGCTAATTATGTCCAAGTATTTTACTGGATAACCTGTCTCGAGATCTTCCAAGCAATATTCCCTCATTGACATGAAGTAGAAGACCTCAGGCACTAAAGAGGCATTTTCTCTGAAAAATCACAGATTTTAACTTCTTTAGACAAGGGGAATTTAAGAGCTCCAGTGCACATTCAGTAAAACTGTGATGGCAAAGTGCAAGGCAGATACCCTCAGAAAATCAGGCAAACAGAAGCCAAAAGCTTAAACAGGGCCATCCACTGTGTTGGCTCATGTAAACACACTAAGGGCTAAAGACATTCTTTAACAGGACAAATACAATAGTCAGACACACAATTTTAAATACTCTTTTTCAGCATGCAGGTTAATGGTAAGGATTACTGAGCCAACTGCTCTGGCACAGCTGGGTTACTGTCCATGCCTGCTAGAGTGTTTGTATCACACATTCAGTGCAGTATGTAAATACCTTGACTATCAGGTTGCAAGGAGGATGTGCTTGTCCAAAAGGCCATTGGGTTAGATTTAAAAAGGCTAAAATTAAATCCTAAAAAAATAAATTGTTGGTATATAAGTGTTTACCTGGAATTTTAAAACAGACTTATCTACGCTCTGTAAATAGTCCATAGTTGTATTTCACAGCAGGAAATTTCATCTGGTAGTTCTAGACAAGCTTATTTCAACCCATGTGAATGGAATGCAGCTACTATCTTCTGCCACATGACTTTGTGATTCCTTAGCTAATGAGCAGAGAGCATATGTTGATAATCTTGAGCCATCCCATCCTTCTCACAGAGACACTTCAGCACATTGTAGTGGTTGTGTCACAGCCACAACATCTGCAAGTGCATCTTTGTCAGACTGGGACAGAAACTGTGTCACCGAGGACACAATCACACGATCTCTTTTCAGGCTAAGGAAATAAGCTAACATCTGGTGTTAAGTTACACCACTGAAATTACAGAGGGCAACATCTAGGCTTGGAAAAAGGGTATGGAGTAGTTTTAGAACTTCCATCACAGGAATAATTCCAGTTTTAGCTGAAGCACATTTGCTGTTCTCACACTTCACCACGCAGAGCAAAGGCCCGAGCACATACAATACCAACTACCTATCTGAGTCTCAAAAAGTGAATTCAGAGCTGCTTCAAGCATTTAAGCCCAAGGTTTAGATACAGGACTTCAGAGTTATAGCTCCCTCCCCTGCAAATTCCTGTTCTCAGTCAACAACAAAACTCTGTGCTGCATTTCATCTTTATATGAAAATCATCGACTTAAAATGCACTCCTTTACTCTGGAGAACCTGTGAATAACCTGTGTTAGAACTGAAAGGAACTACACATTCCTGAGAGAAGAAAGAGTAATGAACAGCACAGAGCTGACTGCTTACTAAGTTGGGTAACCAAATGAGAATAGACACTCACCTTTATCCAGAATCTTAAAGGAGAAGTTAGAGGGTCCATCTTGTGTTGAAGCAGGCAAGTTGTCTACCTTGCTGTCTGCAGGCTTCTGAGCAGCATTAGAGCTTTTTGGTGGTTCAGAGGCTTCCTGTTCTTTCTGGGCTGTGTTCTGGGATGGTGAAATCTGGTCTTCACTCTTTCTTGGAGGATTAAAGCTGAAGCCAAAGAGAGAACCAGTGGCTGAAGTATTTCCAAATGTGAATGTCTTTGACTTTTCATTACTGAAAATGCTCTTGACAGATTCAGATCCAAATACAAACTTGGGAGGAGAAACCACTGTTTTTGTTGGTGTTTCCGAAGTGTTTGACACCTCTGCAGCCTCAACAGTTACATCAGAAGAATCATCCCCATGGCTGAGGTCAGTTCTTTCTCTGGTCGTTTCTTCCAGCACAGCTACAGCATTTTTACCACAAGGTGATTCCTTTGGTGTATTGGCACGAGAGGAAAGAGGAGTTATCAGTGTCTCTCTCTCCTGGGCATGCTTTGCCTCATCAAAAATTTGCTTAAATGAGTCTGCAACATCTTGCAGCTTGAATCTCACAGCCAGAAGTTCTACTTTCCTTTCCCCATCTGCGAAGTCACACGCAGTCCACACCCAAGCTCTGTCAGATCCTTTCATCTGTTGCATATTCATATCTGGTGTTATTCTGTGGTTGGCACAGAGCTTCAGTACCTGGTCCCTTCTCATGACTATACGCACTTGTTTGGTGTCGTAGTTCTGCAGGATCTTGATATCCCCAATCCCTCTCTCCTTCCACTGATTAGCATCTTTGTCGTATCTGTAGAGCTTAGCTCTGTGGCTGAAGACAACTTGCTCATTTTCCTCACCACTGGTCACTTCCACAAGGTCAGGCAGAGGTACCACAGGTTCAAAGTACTGACCATCTCTCTCTTCTTCTTGAGTGACATCAGAATCTTCATCTGTGCCTACTGATGTCCTACTCTGATTCTGTTTGGCAGGAGATTTGGATGGGCTCAAGGCAGATTTAAAGCTGAAACTAAACCCAGTGGTGGACTCTCCAAATCTGAACAGATTTTTCCTTACAGGGCTACTTGCAAGAGGTGATGCATATACAGAACTACTTACACTATCATCCAGTGCTTCTTCACGCAGGTCATAATTATCCCACTCCAGAGTAGGCCCAGTGCTTTCAGCATGTGGCTTTATAACCAGATCAGAAGTACTGTTGGCACTGACAGAGTTTACATTTTCCTCCTCTGACAGTTTAGTTTTGTCATCTGTCAGAAAAGTTTTGAGATCTTTTAAGCCACACTTCATTTCTTCTGCTTTCTGTATGAGCTGAGCTGTCCTGCCTGTATCCACAAGTTTATGGGGTGTCTGCAGTGGTATATCTAGCAGCAACCTTTGACATTCTTCAAACTTCTGTTTGAACTCCTCGGCCTGCTCTGGAGTCTTGAATTTTGCTGCCAACTGTTCCAGCTTTGCATCACCATCAGAGAAGTCACTGGCCATCCACATCCATGCTTTGTCTGAGCCAGACAGCTGCTTCAAGTTCATCGTTGTCGTTATCCAGTGATTTGCACACACCTTCAGGACCTGCTCGCGCCGCATCAATATTCTGACCTTGCCATTCACTTCGTTTTTCAGAATCTTCAGGTTGCCCACCCCACGTTCTTTCCACTGGCTTGTTTCTGGATCAAACCTGAACAGCTTCACTCTCTGGCAGTATAACACTTTCTCATCTTCCTCTCCTGTAAATGGTTCTACTTTTTCAGGCATCTGAACTATAGGTTCAAAATGGATATCATCACTCTCTTCTGTCTTGTACACATCATCATCCTTCTCAGCAAGGTCAGCAGATGTGTTTGCTTTCTGATCCATTTTGGAATTCTGGGAAGAAAACAGCTTTTCACCTGCACCTGAGAAGCCTTTGAAGTTAGGGTCCTTTTTGCCAAACTGGAAGCCTTCCCTAGGAGTATTTCTTGCAAGCTCAGCAAAAGTAGCAGTGCTGCTACTTTGCCCAAAAACAAAGTCAACTTTCTCTTTGTCTGCTGTTTCTTGAAACTGGAATCCAATTCCACTCTCTGAAGGCTGTTCCTTTTTGTCCTTTTCATCAACGCTCTTTAAGAAGCTGGTTGTACCTTCTTTGGATGGCTCATCTTGCTTAGTGTTATTTATACCAGACTCCTGTATCCCAAATTTAAATCCCCCTGCAGGCACTGGCATTGAAAAGCTAAATCCTTCCTTTGCAGACTTAGCTTCAGTATCAGAAGAAATCTGAAATGTGAATGAAGGTGTCTTGCCTTGCTCAAGACCAAACTTAAATCCTGTTCCCAACTGTCCACCATCAAGTTCAGATAATGTACTTTTCAAGCCAAAAGTAGGAGCTGATGGGGCATCTCCACCAGGCTTAGATGGATTTGGTTCATTGCAGGCTACGCAGGCTAGTGACGAACCTTCATTCCTCACAAAACAAGTACTACAATCCCACTGCCCTTCCTTTTTAGCAAAAAGCCCTTCAAACCCATTTTTCTGTGGCTTACTTGCATCAGCAATGGAACCAAACCCAGGAGTGAGGGGTGCCTGAACAGTAGGTAGAGCCATAGCTGGTTGACTTTGAGGATTAGGACTCTGACAAGCACAACAGTTCACATCCTTTGCTTCATTTCGGACTAGGCATACAGAGCAGTCCCACTGCCCTTCCTTTTTAGCAAAAGCAGATCCAAATGTGTCCTGCACAGTGTTACCACTGGCTTTAAAACTTGCAGAGCCACTTAATGGGGTGACATGTGAATCCCACGTATCTGGATTTGGACTTTGACATGCCACACAATTCTTTGCAGCTGCTTCATTCAGAACTAAACAGACTTTACCCTCCCACTGATCCTTCTTCAAGAGATGCTGCCCAAATCCACCAGAATAGGCTTGCTGAGGATCCTTTCCAAATGAAATAGTAGGGCCAGATGTAGTTGATGTAGCTGTCACGCTGCCTTTGCTATCAGCTTCACTGCTTGCTCCATCTTTGGAGAACTGAAAGCCCAAGTTCAGGCTTCCAGCAATGGATCTGCTAGGCTCCTTGCTGTCCTGAGTCACTGCTTCCTTTGCAGTCCCACTACTCTGAGTCCCAGCTGTGTCAGCCTTTGAGCCCAGTGACTTTAAAATATTCTGTGCCTCCTCAAACTTCTTCTTGAAAAGCATTGCTTCCTCAGGTGTTTTAAACCTAATTGCAAGCTGTTCTGGTTTTGGCAACTCATCTGCATAATCCAAAGCATGCCATACAAATGACTTATCTGATGTAGCATTCGGGGTTAATTTCATATCAGTATTGATGTAGTGATTTGCACAGATTTTCAGCACTTGGTCCCGTCTCATTAAGAGCCGAAATTTGCCAGATACTTTATGTTTCAGTATTTTCACGTTTCCAACTCCCCTTTCTTTCCACTCTTTAGATTCTGCATCGAAACGGAAGAGCTTGGCTCTGTTGCAGAAGAATTCTTCTTCATCTTCCTCACCTGTCTTTACTTCAATCTTATCAGGGAGAGGCACCACAGGATCAAAATGAGGACCATCATCATCCTCATCACCATGGGTGCTTCCTCCCTCTGTTTCATGACTTCTGTTGGCCAAATCTGAACTGGAAGTCATAAATAGAGGCTTGCTTGTTTCTTGGACACTGAACATATCACCCTTCTCAAAACCCAAGTTTTTGTGGGCGTTTTGTCCCATGTTTTCTCTGAGAGAGATGCCTGGAGCATGTTTATTGCTAAAAGTGAAGATATTTCTTGAATTATTGGCGTGGTCATTAACTGGTTTTTGGTCAGCATATCTATCATCCTGTAAAGGTTTATCAGATGTCAGAAGATCCAAGAGCCTCTCCCTGCTATTAAAAGGTGCATTAAGAGGCTGTGGTGCAACTTGAGGAGGAGAAGAAAAGGTAAAGTCTCCATCATTAGACTTGAAGTTGGGTTTAAATTTAAACATTGTGGGCTGAGTTGGCTGTGCTGGTGTTGGCAGAGCTGGTTTCGATCCTTCTGTTGTTCCTGTCTGGCCAAACTTAGGCATCACTTTGGATTCTGCAGGTTTTAGAGTCGGAGGAGTGGCTGAACGGTTGGTGAAATAACCTGGTTTAGGCAGTGTGGGATTTGTGCTTGCCTGGGGAACACTGTAATTGTAATAGTCCTCACTTGCCCGGGGAGAAATGAGTGCAGTGCCAGGAGAATCGAAACGCAGGGGTGGCCCATACATTTCCTGAGAAAACATACAGCTAGAAGTGTTCTGCAGAGGTGGTGTATGCATTGGGGGTTGATAAGCATATATATGTTGCTGAGGTGTAAGTCGGTTCATGCCATAGACAGGAGCCTAAAGAAAAAGCAGAAAACAAGTGCTTTGCTTACTATGGTAACAGGACAAAACCTTACTGTGCTGAAGGCTGCAGGAACATGTACTCTTAAAAGCAGGACACACTTTCACACAACTTTAAATCTAAACTCATTTGACCTTAGTCCAAAGTCATTAGTTTAACCCTTGAAGGGCATTTGAAAACAAGCATTGGGTTCAAACTGAAAGAGGGAAAGGCTAGGTTGGATGTGAGAAAAACATTTTTCCCTGTGAGGGTGGTGAGACACTGGCCCAGGTTGCCCAGGGAGGCTGTGGCTGCCCCAACCCTGGCAGTGTTCACAGCCAGGTTGGATGAGCCTTGAGCAACCTGATCTAGTGAGGAGGTGTCCCTGCCCAGGGCAGGGGTTGGGGCAGGATGATCTGTAAGGTCCATTCCAACCCCTAAACTCTATGGTTCTAAGAAAAAAGAACACAATATGACTGGGTTGCTTTAAGAAAGCCCTTGAAAACACCTTTTTCTTTTGCCATGCTAGCTGGGAGGAAATGAGCAAGTTTTATCATACATACCCTGTAGGAGACACGTGCTAAAAAATTACAGGCATATTTTGCTGGCTTTTTCTCCCAAACTCCATATTCCAAAATCATTGAATCATACGATTTTAGGGGTTGGAATGGAC